AAAAAAAAAAAAAAATTTAATTTTAAACATAGCAAAGAAAAATAATAATAAATGTGTTAAATAATATAGTATTATTTTGTGTCTTTAAAAGTTATTACCTATTTTGTATTTAATTTTCTAATTAGCTTTGTATTTTTATAATTTGTAGATACTTGGCTGTTTTGCAGCCAATGCGTTTATATCAAATGGATAGCAGGGGAAAGTTAATGATTGCAGTGGCTTGGATTGCATCAGTTATTTGTAGCTTACCGCAGGTAACTCTTGTTTTGTTAGGTTATCGTTAGCGCCCACGTTTGTTTATTCAATTATAATTTAATATTTCTACGCATTTGTAAATATGCTATATAATACAGCTATTTGTTTTATTATATAAATAGTTTTAAACAAAATCTTCATTTAAAGATTATAAGTGAAGATTAAAAAATATTTGAAACATAAAATATTCAAAACTATTTAAATTATATTCTTCAATAATGAAACTAAGGATTGAGAATGTTATAGATTTTATTTTATTTATGAGTTTAAATTACATAATAATATCACTGGAAAAATATTTGTCTACATTTATAGGATCACTCAATGAACTATAAACAAAATTTGAACATTTAACTCATTAACAAGATAAAAATTTTTGCTTTATTTACACCGTAGACTTACATATTTCACGTGGAACGACACCCTAATGCCACATGGTACGAACAGTGCGTCACTTATAACGCTTTTTCGTCCAAATTGCACGAGCTGGCTTACTTATATTTCGGCATGTTCATGATGTACTGGTTGCCTCTAATCGTTATACTATTCTGCTACGCTTCAATCATCATTGAAATATATAGAAGGTCCAGGGAATCGATTTGCGGCCAAGGTAAGTTATAGAAATAGTTGTAAGACTCTGGTTTTAAGCAGGGAAGCTACTTATTTTTACAACATAAATGGGTAGAAAAATGGGTCTGACTTAGTTTGTAAAAAACACATCTTTARGACTATAGGACATTTTAAACTTATGTTACTCACCCCTTTATTATATTTGCTGTATTAAAAATCAAATACATGTGGGATTTATATGGAAGTAATTATTGAAATTATTGAAAACCTTAGTGAATCAAATGTAATTTCCGAAATAATTTAATAAATGCRAGTATTATCGAGATTAAACAAATACTGGTCAATCAAAATGATTGATTTCCTTATTCAAGTAAAAGACAACTGTCCCAGTAATCTATCCAGGCATTCAACCCCAGTAATCTTTTCAAAATTTAAACTATTTATTATTCAATATTTCTCAAAAAATGATTTTTGGTWACAATGTATAAGTTAAACAACAATGTTTAAATACAGTTAAATAATTAAATATCTTATTTGYCATCACAATACGAGCTGGAACCAAAATTAGATGTAAAATTCACAATTTCATAGAAACGGTTTACGAATATATCAACTAATATATTCAATGGTTAGCTTAAATGTATTCTTGTTAGAAATTTACATCATTATCTTGATAGGATGATTGCGTGCATGGTGCATTTTTGATGGTATATCTACCACACATGAAACAAATATATATATCTCAAGTCTCAAGACATATATCAAGACCATGAGAAAAAGAAARGAGCCTTACACTCTAKGTRAGATAGGAGTTCAAAAGAGTCAATATTTCCATTAATTAATTTTTGAAAGAATCGTATGCCAATTTCTGTTTTCTTGTCAGTTAAAGAGCACAAGATAATTGAAATGAATACAAGAGGTTAGCATTTTTAAGAGGCATGTTAAATTTTCAGAGTGAAAATAAAAAAAGTTCAAAATATTCATTATAGATACTTTTAGATTCT